AGAACTGGGGGGTATTTTTCGTACGTGGATTACTCGTTTAGCTGGATGTAATTGTTGACGATTTGGCATGATCCTGGACCTGTTGTTTTTCGAAACTCTTGCTGGATGTGTTGTCATAGCAGCACATCCAAGTCCTCAAATCTGCTCAGAGCAGGGGCCGGGGGGGGCCTCGCATCATCCAAGATCAGGTGCCTCTGATCTTGGATGAGCAGATTTGAGGACTTGGATGTGCTGCTATGACAACACATCCAGCAAGAGTTTCGAAAAACAACAGGTCCAGGATCATGCCAAATCGTCAACAATTACATCCAGCTAAACGAGTAATCCACGTATGAAAAATACCCCCCAGGAAAACTCAAAAAGGAAAACAGAAAACACTTTAGGGAACAAAACAATACATACTGTACAGAATAACAGCTGAGACTGGCCTCAGCCTCGAACCCATGACCACAGACCCCATGGATTCTAAGCTATGCAGCAGCCCAGGAAGGAGGGAAAACACACAAGGGTGATGGACAGAGAGGGGAAAGACAGGATGAGCAGCACCGCCTGCTGGTCAAAGGGGAAAGGACACGGGAGGTGGGATCAGAGGGCACCGACCCTGACAGTATGCAGGCGTTTGGGATAACCATTAGGGCAGCTGTTCAACCCCAGGTGTGAGGATCAGTCCTCTGATTAGTAATATAATTAGGGAGTTTCAGCGAAAACCCACATACACAGCAGCCCTTTCTGGGTAAGACTGACCACCCCTGCTGTAGAGTGAAGTCATACTTTCTCTGAATGTTTCTTCTATAATATTTTATAACCTGCCTGTAATTTTTTTACAATCAGCCAAAGGTCATTTGGGGAAAAGCTTTGTGATATTTCCTCTCTGAGGGTGTCTGTTTATAGTGGCTGTATGATCAGCACGGTTTGGGTGTAGCTGTATGGAACAGAATAGGAATAGAATTCTTTATTGTCATTATGCGTACACATAACGAAATTTTTTGTTGGTAGGACTCGGCTTCAAGGCAGAATACTTAAATACACAATACAGTATAAATAATAAACAAATAATTATAAAGACAGCAGCAATAAAACATTATCAAGACCAGACTTTTCCTAAGGTAATACGCCTGCAGAGACCAGTGATCTGTGTGTGTGGGTCTGCAGGGGAGGTATATGAGTGTGTGTGTGTTTGATTACAAGGGAAAGTATGTGTGCATGTCTACAGGGGGGGCAGGTTAGGGGTAGATGTATGTGTGTGTATCAGCAGGAGCAGATAGACTTCACAGGTCTGGGGTAGAAGCTGTCTTTCTGTCTTTCAGTCACTGGTACATGTCTTTATGCTCCTGTACCACTTTTCCGAAGGCAGTGGTACAACATTCCATTTCCTGGATGGGTGAGATCTGCAGCTATACGTTTGGCCCTATTCTGCACCCTTCCAGCATATACAGAGTCCAGGTCCAGAAGAGGACTTCCCACAATCCCCTGTGTTGTTCTCACCAGCCGTACAGAGTGCTGGGCTGAGTGCACAACCCTGTGATCGAACATTTTGTGTCAGCTTAGGTGACCATGTGTCCTCCTCTGCTCCCCTCCTCTGCTCCCCTCCTCTGCGGGGTCCCACAGGGTTCAGTTTTAGGTCCCTTGCTTTTTCTTTTATATCTGCTCCCACTTGGATCCATACTTAGGAAGCATGACATAGCTTTTCATTGCTACGCAGAGGACTGCCAGATCTATGTTCCTTTAAAGAAGAAAGACTCTCATTCTATATTGCCATTACTGAAGTGTCTTGAAGACATTAAGGCCTGGCTGTCTCATAATTTCTTAAAATGAAATGATAATAAGACAGAGGTGATGGTTTTTGGTAGCTCCACTGAGACCCCCAACCTAGACTTAGGCTCTATGGCACAATATATTAAGCCAATTGTCACTAATCTGGTAGATGCTGACCTTAAATTTGACTACCAAATCCGGGCTGTGGTCAATTCTAGCTTTTTTGAGTTGAGGAAGTTGGCTAAAATAAAGCCAATTCTTTCCAAGCAGCATTTTGAGGCAGTAATCCATGCCTTTATTACCACTCAGCTCGATTACTGCAATGTGCTTTATGTAGGGGTAGGTGCATCCTATATTACTCAACTTCAAAGGGTGCAAAGTGCTGCTGCACGCCTTCTGACGGGCACACGGAAGTATGATCACATTTCGCCTGTTTTATCAATGCTCCACTGGTTGCCTGTACATTTTAGGATTCAATTTAAAATCTTTTATTTGCTTTTAAGGCTCTTAATGGTCTTACCCCTCCCTACCTCTTTGAGCTGTTACACCCTTACATACCCTCCTGGTCTCTCAGGTCATCTGGCCAGCTGCTCCTGCGTGTGCCTACAACTAAGCGTAAGCATAGAGGGGGCCGTGCTTTCGCTGCTGTAGCTCCCAGAATGTGGAATGATCTGCCCTTGCATGTAAGACGGGCTTCTTCTCTGTCTGTTTTTAAATCCCGCCTGAAAACCTCTCTTTTCTTTGGCTTTCGATCCCTTGTGAGATGTTGATTTTAGTTTATTTTATTTGATGGTTTATCATCTTATTTTGTATATGCACTTATTTTATGAACTTTTATTTACCTAAGTCCAGTTGTTTCATTGTAAATTCTCTGTACAGCAGTTTGGGCCTGTGTGGTTGTTTTAAAGTGCTTTATAAATAAAGTTGGTATGGTATGGCATGTTCAAATTCTGTCAATTGATTTTTCTTACAGGCAGACATCCTCTCCATGGAAACATAGTCCAAGAGTAGATTTTTGAACAGATTTATGTTTAAATTCTCTTTTGACTTCCAGTTCAGAAGGATTGTNCTGCAAAGACAGTGACAGGCAGGAGTCAGTGATGCTGTGGGGTCTGAAGTGCCCCCTAGAGGACGGTGGCTGAGAATCAGCATCAGTCACTCCACTCAGTCCAGAATTCTTCATATAATATTAATTACTAGTTAATTTTGTTCCTTCTTTAAGAGGCCTGGAATCATCTCCTGATAAATATAATCTTTAAATAGCATACTTTATAATGAAAAATATATAATAATTATTATTACATACTTTTCTTTGGTGTCCTTGATGACCTGAAAAACAGGAAAACAAAGTGGAAGCATTAAATGGGAAATAACACATTGTGAGAAATGCCCTGTAAATCTGAAATGACTCAGTAGAGCAGGGGGGGGCAATCTTATCCATAAAGGGCCAGTGTCACAGAGGGGGGGCATGATGCAGGCGGGGAGAGGAAGGTGACGATCCACTGCGGCTCCAAGGGACAACAGGGGTTTATAGGGGAAACCAAAGATACAAAAGGAAACCAGACAGAGCAGCAGAGAGAAACATGACAACAGCGAATACAGTGACTGGGGGACAGAGCAGGGCAGCCACTTAAATACACAGAAAAGGGGGGCAGGCAAGGAACAGGTGTAAGACAATCAATTAACCAATAAACAGACACTGGCACAAGGAAACGGGCGACAGCTGGAATTAATAACAACTAATAGCGACAGAAACTAAGAAATCAAGACAGAAAACTGAGAAAACAAAGTACAACCAAAGCATGAGGAAGACAAACACAGAACAGGAAACTCACAAAGGAAAACAGAAAACACCAGGGAACAAAACAATACATATAGAATAACAGCTGAGGCTGGCCTCAGTCTCGAACCCATGACCCATGACCACAGGCCCCATGGATTCTAAGCTATGCAGCAGCCCAGGGAAGAGGGAAAACACACAAGGGTGATGGACAGAGAGGGGAAAGACAGGATGAGCAGCACCACCTGCTGGTCAAAGGGGAAAGGACACGGGAGGTGGGATCAGAGGGCACCGACCCTGACAGTATGCAGGCGTTTGGGATAACCATTAGGGCAGCTGTTCAAACCCAGGTGTGTGAAAAGTAAATTCCTGAGTGAAAATGGTTAGTGTCACTCAGATGTTTATAACTGTTTATTTC